ATCCATTTTGAGTTTATTTTTGTGTATGGTGTAAGTTGGTGGCCTAGTTTCATTTTTTTTGCATGTATCTGTCCAATTTTCCCAACACCATTTATTGAAGAGGCTGTCTTGACTCCATTGTATGTTCATTCAAAGAGGTCAGAGCTACTCCAGTTAGGTGTGGAATATTATTGAAGAGGAGGAAAGCCCTAATCAGTAATCTCCCAAAAACTGTTGGCAGAACCTCTGCATAAACCTGAATTTAAGCAAATACTAAGGCTTCTGCAGGAACGGTTTCCCTATACTCAGTGTGTCAGATACAGCAGTGCCTTTCAAAAGGTGCCTAATGTTCATCGGGGATTTGAGGATACTGCCTTTTTTCTGATTCAGAGTTCGCTCATTGTAGAAAATTGAGAAAAAGATATTTAAGATTTTTATAAAATGCCACCATCTGGAGAAAACTACATCTAGTATTTGGTACTAGATTAGGATTATATGGTATGTATTTATTACAGTACATCTGTAACTTTCTCTGTCAAATTTATACATCTATATTTTTTAGAAGTTGCTTTTAATTATTAAGTTGTCTAAAAACTATAATGTTGAGAAGAAACAACAAAAGTTCCTGCCTATCTGCTAGAGTGTTTTTCTGCTTTTTTGTTTTAATTTTTAAAGTGGTCAAAGAAATAATTGAGTTTTTCGAGTATCATAGCAGTATTTGTCAGGGGAAAATATCAGCGTATTTATAAGGCATGGATTATAGTCTGGAATATTGCAGGGTTTATGAGCTGGTGACTCTCTTCACTACATTAACTGAACTCATTAGTGAAACCAAGTTTTAAGGGCAAGCTTAATCTGTTTTTAAAAATGGGGTTTTAAAACATTGAAACACATTTCAGTTATCACAGTTATTGGCTATTAATCATTTGCTACTTAAGAAAAAGTTATAAATATTCAGTCTGAATTAAAATCCATTGAAGTGAGTTTCAACTCATTTATATAAAGGAGTGAAACAGTCTTAGTTCAAAGATCTCCCAAGGTATAGTTAAACCTCCTTTAAAAAAAAAAAAAAAAAAGGGCAGTGTAATTTTAAAGGGCTGGCATATCCCTCCTTTTGAGGTCCTGGAGAAATATTATTTCCTGGAAGGCAGTGTTAGGTGCTTAAAAAGTAGAAAAGGTTAAAAAGGAGATTCAATTAGAAGAATTTGGTGAGGACTTTTCCCTCCAAAAACAGAAGTTTTAATTTCTCATTCAACAGAAGATGTGGAAATATTTTCCATGTATTATATTCATTTCCCAATCCTTGGGCTACACCATCTCCATAAAAGTTCCTTAAATGACCCAGTTTGAAGCCCTTTCCCTAGAGAAATCTTTCTATAAATCTCCACACTTCCAATTTCTCTCATGTGCTATTAAGCTAAAACATTCCAAGCTGTCTTTTGTTTTTCACATGACCCCCTATACTCTTTCCTACAAAACTCTTCTCAGAACTGGCATGGTGGAGAGTCATCCTGTATACCAGAAGGTTGCAGGTTTGATCCCCGGTTGGGGGACGTATGTCTGTCTCTCTCTCTCTCTCTCTCTCTCAAATGTTGCAAATCTCCCAAGAAGTGTGAACACTGACCTCTAGAACCACTTTGAAGATATACTTTTAAAAAATTAGATGTGAACTATGGATAACAGTCTATGCTAGGAAACTAATATTCTCTCGCTTTACAGCTGGGGGAAAAATGTATTTACTTGACCTGTACATGCAGCATAAGATAGTGTCAAGTTAAGGAAAAATGACTTGTTGCTTCTCTCTCTCTCTCTCTCTTCCCCCACCCCCTCTCTCTCCCTCCTCTCTCTAAACATATCCTTGGGTGAGGATTAAATTTTTTTTAAAAATCTCTTCTCAGCACATCCCACCCCTTTACTCTAGTGGTCCCAGCTTTCTGTTTTCTTGGGCCTTTTCTGTTTCTACTCACATGCCTTCCTTTCAGGCCGTCCCTTAAACTTCTCATGTTGTTCTGCCGCCTCCTAGTTCAGAACCCACTGTACAATGTATAAACCATCCAGTGATGAGAGATCTGCCTGTTCTAAGCAAAACAAATTAATCACCACTTCACTTATTATGTGTTAAATTTAGGAGCAGTACATATCTTACATGTCATCATGGAATAAATAAAGGCCTTTGGTTTTAGTTTTCTACAGTTCCTGCTTAAATTGCTACTGTGTAACCCATCATGATTGAAGCATCATCCTTGATACCTTTGAATCTGCTGTGTGTTCAGCCATTCAGGGAAATTGGTTGGGTCATGATCTACAATAGCAGATCGCCGGTCTCCTCCTCTATGTCTTCACTTGTATTAGGATGTGGACAATTTAGGTGGGAACGTGGGATGAGTTAATATTGCTCAAGACTAAAAACTTTCTCTACTTTCTCTCTAACTTATTTTATTTTCTCTAACTCAGCTACATTTCTACTTATAGATCCAGCCAAAAAGTTGTCCACAACTCCTCTTGACAAGGTCTTGTTTCAGATGAACCTTAACTAAAAATCATTCTCTGATACTTGCAGGAATCCGACCAGGCTGGTCAAATGGGAGGCTCTGTGCGAGGACCCCCCAGGCTTCCACCAAGGTCAGTGTGGGAAAGGTTTTAAAAAGTAAGAGAGCAGCTAATGCCTCAGAGACTGGACTCCCCTTTCTGGCCTTAGATATTCTTTTAGAGATACATTTTAAACTCATGAATTCACCCAGGCCACTAGCCTACAGTCTGCTCTGACAGCAGGTTGTAGGAATCTCTGCTGCTTCTTTGAACTCAATCCCCAAAACTCACAGAACACAAACATATCTCTATTACTTTTCCTCCAACAAACAAGACTCCTTTCTGGACCTGGAACAACTCCACTTCTGGAATGAACACACTCTCGCACACCTATACACTCACACTCTCACTCTCACACTGTCACCCACTCCCCATTATGAGGAACCGTGGTGACCTGCCTGCCTGGGTTCCAGGGCTATTGGAACAAAAAGCTGCGATACTATCAGAAGCTATTCCTATGTTACAAATTCTTTTTATCATAGGCATTAAGGAAAGGTTTTCAAAGTAATGGTTGTCCTAGCTCATTTTCAAAACAGCTTTCTTTATATTAATCTAACCCAGAGTTAGAATAGTAATTCCTAGAACATGAATATTAGGGTAGTTGATGTTCCTTTTCTAATATGAACTAGATCACATCACATATACCTGACATCTTATTGTAAGCTTTTCATCTCAGACTTTGGTAGAATGTGCTTAGTTTCCTGAAACAGTCATGGTGTGTTTATGAGCAAATGGGGCATTAGTGAGCTCATGATAGTAAATGCTTGTTTGTTTTGAACTAATGAATCTCTAGTGCAGGATGAGAGGAAGCTGGAACATCGACATTTCCTCTAATAATATAATGTTTAATGCAGCAGCCATTTGCTCAGAAATAGCATACCCTGCGTGTTTAGGTAATTGTACTAGCAGAAAGCTGTTCACGCGTGCGCGCGTGCACGCACGTGTTTGTGTGTGAGTGTGTGTGTGTGTGTGTGAGAGAGAGAGAGAGAGAGAGAGAGAGAGAGCAAACAGAACCTAATGTTGATCAAACACTGATTCACAGCTCCCACCTTGCCTTTCAGACCTATAAATGGAAAAGTCACACCAGCTCGACAGCCTCCTCCAAAGGGGGCCCCTGAAAGACCACCTCCCCCGAGAGTTTCTGCAACCAGAACATCAAATAAAAAACTGCCTTTTAATCGGTCTTCTTCTGACATGGATCTTCAGAAAAAACAAAATAATATGGCTTCCAGACTCACAAAAACCAAGAGTCAATTTTTTAAAAGTGAAGATCCGGTGCTACCTCCTCGCCCTAAACCAGGACACCCTCTCTACAGGAAATACATGGTAAATTTAGCTTTTAAAAATGTTAGTGGTCCAGAGGTTTGTCCTAAAGTAATATATAAGATCCATTATTCCTTAGAGCAGCGGTTCTCAACCTGTGGGTCGCGACCCCTTTGGGGGTCGAACAACCCTTCCACAGGGGTCGCCTAAGACCGTCAGAAAACACATATATAAGTACATACTGTTTTTGTGATGAATCACTATGCTTTAATTATGTTCAGTTTGTAACGATGAAAATACATCCTGCATATCAGATGTTTGCATTACAATTCATAAGTAGCAAAATTACAGTTATGAAGTAGCAACGAAAATAATTTTATGGTTGGGGGTCACCACAACATGAGGAACTGTATTAAAGGATTGCAGCATTAGGAAGGTTGAGAACCACTGCTTTAGAGGAAGATGATGAGACAGATGTGGACTTGATCCTTGACCTTAAGAGTTCTTTAGATAAGTAGTCCATAATAAAACCTAGGTCTTTAAAGCAGGGTTTTATTAGGAGAAATAGAGGAATAGGAGGCAGTGCAGACAGGAATTGAACAAACAGCAACTCTAAGAAACCTGACCAGTAAGTTACACTAATGGGTTTTTATAAAATCTGACAGATTTTATACTTTATATCCCTTGCCCACAGAGTAAAAATTTAAAATAAAATAGAAAGAAAGGTCTTATTAAGGTGAATGGTTTTTCCCCTTTTGTAAACATAATTATCATGGGCCATTTAATTGTTACCAATGAGAAGCTTTCGTTAATAATTGGAATAGCTGAGGTATTAATTTGGTTCTTTTATGAATATTTTTCTCATCATATGACCTTAAACCTTTGGCTGCATTTTCCATACTTAAAAACAGAGTTGATGTGCTCTTACCACTTTGGTTTGGTTAACCTGATAAAATCTAAGACAAATAAAAATAGGGAGCTGTGGGGGTAACGGGGGGAGAATTGGGAGGTAGCTGTAATAACTATCAACAATAAAAAAATATGTATTTAAAAAAATAGGGAGCCCTGGCCAGTGTGGCTCTGTTGTGAGTCCTCCCATGCACCACAAAGTCACTGCCCAGTAGGGGTTGTACAGGAGGCAGCTGATTGATATTTCCCTCTCCTTTCCTCTCTCTCTGAAATCAATAAAAACATGTTGTAAAAAATAGGGAGATCAGGACTGTTTGTACTTTTTTTTTACTGATTGATTTTTAAAGAGGGAGAAAAAACATGCATTGACTTGTTGTTCCACTCATTTGTGCACTCATTGGTTGTTTCTTGTATGTGCCCTGACCAGAGATCAAGCCTTGGCTTATCAGGACAACCCTCAGCACACTCGGCTATCCGGCCAGGGCCTGTCTGTACTTTTTAAACAATTGCATGACAGTAGCTTTTATCAAGAACAGCAGCTAATAATTTTATATTGTGCTACATTTCCATCATTGGGCCAGAAAGTACTTTCGCTTTAAGCCATATAGGGTTTTATAAAATTTTCCTTGGATAGATAAGAAAGATGGAGTGTATTCATATATATATTCATATTCATTTAAATTGATGACATTTTTAATTGCTAAAACACAGAAGTATTATTTGGGTTAGGTTATTTAAAAATAATGCCTGATGTATTACGCACTTATTATGGACCAGGTATTGTTTGAAGCACATTATGTATGTTAAATAACTCATTTATTCCTCACACCAACCCTGTGAGGTAGATACTACTATTATCTCTATTATACAGATGAAGAAAATAGTACACAGAGCCATCAAGTAACTGTAGGGGTAAAGGGGTAGAAATGGGAGATATCTGTAATACTATCAACAATAAAAAATATATTTCATTTTATTTATTACTAGAGGTCCGGTGCACAGATTTGTGCACCAGTGGGGTCCCTCTGACTGGCATGTGGGGATTGGGCCAAAACCAGCTCTCCAACATCCCCTGAGGGGTCCTGGATTGTGAGAGGACGGTTCTCAGGTGATGCACCCCAGAATCGAGCTCCCTCCTCTCTGGTTCCAGGTGCATCACCCAAGAACCGTAGCTGCCAAGTCACCGCAGCTCGGCAGCTGCTGCATTGAGCTTCTGCCCCCTGGTGATCATTGTGCATCATAGCTACCGGTTGGGCGGTTATATGGTCAGGCAGTCACTTAGACTTTTATATATATAGGGGTTTTTTTATTGATTTCAGAGAGGAAGGGAGAGGGAGAGAGAAAAACATCAATGCTGAGAGAAAATCATTGACTGGCAGCCTCCTGTACAGCCCCCACTGTGGATCAAGCCTGCAACCTGGGCATGTGCCCTTAACTGGAATCGAACCCTTCACTCTGCAGGCCAATACTCTATCCACTGAGCCAAACCAGCTAGGGCTAAAAAATATATATTTAAAAAAATAGGGAGCAAAGCTAGTTAATGGTGGAGCCAGCTTTTGAACACAGATCAACGGACTCTGAGCCCATGCTCTTAACCATTATGCCATACTATGGAAATAGTACTTATGGTTCTTAGCATAGCCATGTAATGTCAATAAAGCATTTGAAGAATCAAATTAATAAATTTAAAATATGGTATATTAGAGGAGTATGTCTCATTATGAAATAATTTCTTAAATTCCTCATTTTTTCCAAGGCTACCTTGCCATTAAGTTGCTAACCAGGAACCTGGGTACATTGGGAGCCCTGGGACTCTGACAGAAATGCTAGGAAGCATCAGTACCTAACCCCTCGCACTCTGCATCTTTGCTCCTGAGTGATGGAGGGGCCCAAGCAGCCTCTTTGCTTGTTGAAAGTGAGCTTGTGTGATCACATTCCCTGGGAATGCCTTTATATTGTAAAGGCCTCTGACCTGTACCCACCAGCCAAAACTCATGGCAGGGAACAGAGTCCCCTGGCCAGGGCTGGGTACAGATATAAAAACCATTCTAAAATCAGACAGAGCTGAGTGAGCCAGGAAGTGACTAGTCGGCAATGAACTGGGTTTAAGTAGACGCTTTGTGGCAGAGAAGCTTTGTAAGATGAGATTCAAGGCAAATGAAGGAGTCATTAGCCTGTAGAGGAGCTGCCCGCCCCCATCAGCCTTCGGAAGACAACAGCCATTGAAAACCCTTACTCAAAGGCAGGTCTTTATAGGCTGTGAGCTCAGGTGCTGAGTATTTATCCTTTAAGCACCAGGTGACTTGTTGGACCTTGTCCTATAGAATAGAACTTCCTGATTCTAGTTGTTAAAGAGAACTTTAGGCCACATTTAGCTATAGGCTCAACTCCACACTCCCAAGGACTCGGTCTCCATGAGAAATGGCAGGCCCCACTAGACCTGGCGCATGAGGAAGTCAGGTGAAGATTTTCCTGGAGAAGTTGTACTTTACACCTTCCAAATCCCCAAATGACCAGCGAGTTATGATGAGGGTTTTTTGATTGTGAATAATCCTTTTATTGGGTTATATTTAAGTTGTCTGTGCCTCATGGGATTGCCAATGAATACATTGTCTTGCAAACCCCGGAGAACTCTCTTGTAAGGTAAAATAGAGCTCTTTCTTTAGTGACAAATGTAAAAAAATCACCAGCCTCTGTTATTACTGCTTTACACATTATTAAATGCTTTAGGCTCCAAAGATTAAAATGTGGGAGAAGTAATAATGTTTTATTAAATAATAATTGCTTCAGAGAGTGGTATGGTACCTTACAGCGTAGGGACGGACTTGTGCTGCTGAAGCAGGCAAGAAATAATTACTGGGAATGCCAAAAGGGAAAAGTCACTGGTAGAGTTCACCTGTCTCAGATGAAGATTATCACCCCACTTGATGAACGTCTTAGGAGCAGACCAAACGTAAAGGAATTAATATTGTACAGCCCTCATATCACCCATGGCAGCACATTTCAAAGAACTATTAATTATATCTCATCCTCAGGTTTTAGCATTTTCTTAACCAGAGTGAAAATTACAGTAGCATTTTATTCCATTTGAAGAATAAATTACTTCTAAGAGACTTGCCACTGCCTTACTAATCACCTCAATACACAGTGACTACCATGTGTTTTGCCTTCTTCATTTCGTGCTGACTTACAGCAACCAGAGCACTCAGTCATTAATTTTCAACTGTGAGAGCCATTTATTTTTAAATAATGTAAAGATGTTTACTAAAGTGCCAGAGATTAGTTTCCCAGCAGAATGGATAATTATTTTAAAGGGGCCCCTATAAATGCTTAGTCTGCCATAAAAAAAGCACTTCCCTTGTAAGATTTAAGCTTAGTGTAAACCTCATTTCTCTGATTATAGCTCATAAAATAATGAAATGAAATGTAATCCAACAACCTGAAGTTACAATTTAAGCCTAACAAATTTGTGGATCCTGGGAGAATACAGTGATCATCGAAGTTCATTTGTTTAGCAAGAAAAATGCCACTGAACTATGTTTAGAGGTATATTTTTTAAAAGAGCTTTTTAAGTTACCCAGTTAAATTTTTGACTGTTATTTAATGTAGCAAACATGAAAAATAATATCCACCAATCATTTAATCTAAGTAAAGTATTTGGTTTCCCATTCATCCTAGTTTTCATAATCTAGTCCAATTCTTTTTTCTTAGAAGGCAGTTTATGTTTTGAAGTTTGCTGAGAAACTAAAAATTTGTATATTAGAGAGCAGAGAAGACACATGTTAAGCTAGTTGTAGCTGGGATACTGAAAATTCTAAGTTTAATTCACGTGGAGAAAGTTCTTCTATCATTCATTTTCTCTTTGTTTTGATCCAGCATTATCCCTCTGTCGCAGCCTTCCTTCCTCTCTCAAACACACTGGGGGGTAACCATGGGAGTTGGGCTGCCAAAAAGCTTTTCTTTAAGAAAAATAGAAGCTACATATATTATGCTTTGAACAATAAAGATTTAAGTTTTTTAAAATAAAGAGAAGGAGGGAGGGAGGAAGGGAGGGAGGGAGGGAGGGAGGAAGGAAGGAAGGAAGGAAGGAAGGAAGGAAGGAAGGAAGGAAGGAAGGAAGGAAGGAAGGAAGGAAAGAAGGAAGGAGCTAAAAAGATGAGAATTCTTTTTTAACAGTCCAAATTTTTTTCCACATTAAACATGACCTCACTCATCTTGTACCGTATAGGCTTGCAGAGTTGGCCTCTGATGGCCAACTACATACAGTGATGCTCAAATGAAACCTCATTCAGGTTTCTGGGTTCATGGCTAGCATTACATTTTTTAGAAAATAAATCTTACCTATTTGAAAGCCTAGTTCTAAGGTTAAGATCTCTGAAAATGTGCTATACTTTCCCCTATCTTAGTAAACAGAAAATATCTAATGCTGTTAGATGAGGTTGACTCTGCAGATCATGGGAATAGTAGGAGATTGTTTACCTTGTTGCAAACACAGATTTGAGTTTCAGGGAGATGGGTTTCAGTTCCCCTCCCACCGCCTTAGATAGTTATCTCTAAACTGCATTTTTTAAATGTGTGAAATAGGTATGATAATTCCTCACAGAGTTGTTTTTAGAATTCATATATGTTCCATTTATATGAAAGTCCAGCATAGGTAAATCCAGAAAGTAGATTAGTGCTTTGCCTAGGGCTGGGGGGGAGGGGGGGAGGGAGTAAATGGGGAGTGGCTGCTCTGGTGTTGGTTGCACAATTCTGTGAATACAGTAAAACTATATACACTTTAAATGGGTGAATTTTATATGTGAATTATATCTCAAAAATGTTTTTAAAAATTAAATGAGCTAATTAAAGCATATAAGGTGTTCAACTCAGTGAGTAGCACAGTGAGTGAACAATGAAGGCTTTGATTACGCATTTGCATTAGCAGTTAGAGTCATATTAAAAAGAGCTTTAAATTATATTAGATTTACCTAATGGTGTGGTCTGAGTTGTACTGACCTCTAGTGGCCAACCTTATTTAGCCTTTTCATCTTGCCCTTCGCCTTCCAGACCAGGTTGATGAGCAGCATTCCTAGTGTTACCCATGCACTGAAGTCAGAGAGGGAAGTTAATTGGGAGGCACAAGTTAAGATCTCTCCTCTTTTATTCTCCCAGGCCTGGTTATGTTTAGGTTGTTGGTTCATTTAGAGATTCATGTTTGTGTTTTGTGTGGTGTAGGCCTCTGATATCATTTATTTTCCAAATGGATAGCCATCTAGCCTAACACAATTTATTTACTTATTTTTTACTTTATATAATTGTTTATTTTTCAGTTAGAGTTGACATACAATATTATATTACTTTCAACCCAATAATTAGACATTATTTAACTTAATGATCATTATGACCAATAATCTAGTAACCATTGACACCATACACAGTTAACTAGAATATTTTTTACTATATTTCCTACACTATATGTTACATCCCCATGACTATTGTGTAACTATCAATTTGTACTTTTTTTTCTAAATGTTTTTTTTTAGAGAGGAAGGAAGAAAGAGACACATCAATTTGTTGTTCCACTTATTTATGCATTTATTGGTGATTCTTTTTTTTATCCTCACCTGAGGATATGTTTTTATTGATTTTTAGAGAGAGAGAGAGAAACATGGATATGAGAGAGAAACATCAATTGGTTGCCTCCCCTACAAGCCCTGACCAGGGATCAAACCCATAATCTAGATATATGCCCTGACCAGGAATCGAACGTACAACTTTCCAAAGCACAGATGACACTCAACCAACTGAGCCACCAGGCCAGGACTCGTTGGTTGATTCTAATGTGTGCCCTGGCACTGGAACCCTGGGCTCAGGGGCCTGGTGTAAGGGTGGGGCCCCACTCCCCAGGGAGGACCTCTGTAGAGGCAATATCCTCCCAATCCTTATCTGCTACATGTGGGTGTAGGTTCAGCCCCTTCCACCTCTAGACCCCTCCTACCAAATTCAAATTAAGTGGCTTCTTTGTATTAGTTATAGGATTTCTATAGGTTTCAGGTGGTTCTGAAGTTGGTTGTTCCATAGTTTAGTTGTAATTTTGATGTGGTTGTGGGAGGATGCAAGTACCGCATACACCTACACCGCCATTTTGACCGGATGTTAGCCTAATACAATTTATTGAGTAGTCATTCCTTTTTTCCACAGACATAAATCAGGGGGGTGAGTAATGAAACACATACATATGCACACATAATAAGTTATGTAGATAATTACTTTTATTTTTTAAGATTTTTTAAATTGATTTTTAGAATAAGAGGAAGGGAAAGGGAGAGAGAAAAACACTGATGCGAGAGCAAAACATGCATTGACTGCCTCCTACACTTCCCCACAGGTGATTGAGCCCAAAACCTGGGCACATGTCCTGACCAGGAATCATACCAACAACCTTCCAGTGCATAGGATGATGCCCAACCAACTGAGCCACACTGGCCAGGGCATAAATCATTTTTTTTAAAGCCCCTTCAGACTTAAAATATGTCACAGTTTCTTTCTGTAACCCCTGAAATTCCCATGATGCTCATTTGTTTAGGGGAAAGTGCTGAGTGGCCCCTAAGAAAATGTCAATGTTACTTTGTAAACTCATATAATAAACTGCCATTAGCCATTACTGTCTTGACCTAAATTGGTATTTCAGTTTACCTACCTTGAGAGAATGCAGCATGCCTCCACAGTTGCATTTTGGTTGAAAGAGCAGGTGAGATGTAGAAAAGATCCGAGCAGAGGTGCTGCAGGGCAATGGAGAAGGTGGACCATTATCCACAGTGCAGTCTGATCAACTGGGTACATCATGGCTAGGGAGGGGCAGAGGAATAGAAGCGTGGGGATACCCCTGAGGGACAAGAGTTGGTTTGAAGAGACAAAAAAGACACAAAAAATGTGCCTACATTTATTTCGCAGGTTTGCCAGTATTGAAGAGTTTTAAAATTGTAACTCCAAATAACATCCTTTAATCAGATTTGATGATGATGAAGGGATTATTAGCCTGTCAGTTTATATAAAGAAACTAAGAATAACAACTGCTTATTAATAAGAAAAGGTCACTCTTCAGCTTTCTCCTCTCCTCTAGCCAATCTATGGCAGTTGGCTAGATGGTTAGAGAATATTGAATTCTTTTTGTTAACTTACTTAGAATTGTATTGAATAAACCATTCAGATTAAATAGAAAATCTAGGCCAGGCACTGGAGGTAGTGTTAGCTTTTAAATTAGAGAAAGCATTCAGTTAAGTGGCACTAAATGACGTAGATTTTACTTTTGTGAATTATACTTTTGTGAAAGTCATTAGCTCTTTTCATTAAAGGGCAAGCATATCAACTGCAGAACTTTCTTCTTTTCCCATCTTAATGAAGATACAACTTTTAAGGCTCTGTCCTTAAGATTTAGTCCTGTTCACAGTTTTAGGAAAAAGCTACTCCAGATAGGAAAAGAGGTTAAAAAACAAAACAAACAAACAAACAAAAACCACTACTTCAGGGTAGAATAGGTCCTAGTGAAAAAAATTTTTAAAGTTCAGTAATTCCATTTTGTTTTACTCTCATTGTTAAAAAATGCTGGAGGATATTATAATTGAGAGTTATTTGCTGTTCTCCCTGGGCAAGGACACATGCCTTTGCAACTTGATATTGATTCTCTTATTTGGCTCAACTGTATGTTTTGCATCTTGTACTCATATGTCAAGAGGATGCTAGTGAGGGAGGAAAAATTGGTCTCAGAGTGAATGTAAATCCAGCATCCATCCTGAATACTTCACTCACAGCCCTGTTTTCCCCCAAAGGATCCAAGCCACACTCAGAAGCCTGTTGACAGTAGTGCTCCTCATGCTGTCATTCTTCATGATTTTCCAGCAGGTAAGGACATAAATAATAAAGTGGTAGAGCCCTTAGACTCCAGGAGCAGGCATCCTCCTTAGGTTAATCTCTGAGGCCAGCCTTCTTCATTCTCTGCACAACAGCGTCCTAGACTGGAGAGGTCATCTTGTCAGTCACCCACCTTCAGGAATGGTCAGTTGTACCCAACCATTCCAGGAAGCTTAGCTGGATACCCTTGCTTTTGAAACTCCCCATGAAGGAGAGAAAGAGAGGGTATTTCGCTACACATGCACAAACAGCAAAATACCTACCAGTTGCAAACTTTTTACCTCTTTCAAAATAGTGAGTCACAATTAATAATTATAGTGAAATTATTTCAAATTTAATAAATGAAGTTCTTTTCTCCTAAGGATTGTAAAACGTACACATATAGCTCAGCTATTACTAATGAGATGAAAATATAATTTTTAAATCAACTTTTAAATATCTTTTATATCCAAGACTACAGATAAACTCCTGATTTATTTATAAGTTTATATATTATCTACTTGATAGATTTTTATTTTAGTGTGAGTAAATTTACTTTCTAAAGAGTAGTATTCCCTTAGTTTAGCTGTTCTCAACCTGTGGGTCGCGACGCCTTTGGCGGTCGAACGACCCTTTCACAGGGGTTGCCTAAGACCATCCTGCATATCAGATATTTACATTACAATTCATAACAGTAGCAACATTACAGTTCTGAAGTAGCAACGAAAATAATTTTATGGTTGGGTCACAACATGAGGAACTATAATTAAAGGGCCAGAAGGTTGAGAACCACTGCTTAGTTAATATTTTGAGATTGCAATGATTTTTAAGCATGATTGAGAATAATATTTTACATCTATAAAACCCTTTCATAGTTCAATATGTATTCAGGAAAAGGTTTATATTGACACAGTAGGAATCATTGGCCAGCGCAGTGTTTGGGGTTTTTTGTTTTTTGTTTTTTTTAACCATTTCCCATCTGTCAATACAAAATAAATGTATTTAATTTGATCTTAAAAGAGGAAGCTCATAACAGCAATATAAAAAAAAAGATATTTTTAAGTCTATTCAATTAGTATAATCTGTTCTCAGAGTCAGTAGAACATACTGCCTCGGTGGACAGAAATAAATACTTTGTGCTCCACTTTAATCAAATCTGCATGCAACCAGAATAATTTATCATACATAATTATAATTTTATTTTATAGAGCAAGATGGTGATTTGAATCTCACTTCTGGAGAAATTGTTTATCTTCTGGAAAAAATAGATACAGATTGGTACAGAGGGAAATGTAGAAACCAGACTGGGGTATTTCCTGCCAACCATGTCAAAGTAATTGTAAGTGGGTCATGATTGTTTTAATTGGTCATATGTTCAGTGGGTTCTGTGTAACGTGCATTTTGGGAAAAGTAATCGGAAGCTTCGATTCTTGGGTTCTAGTTCTCTCTCTTCCATTGATTCATTTGGTGTTTGGAAAATTCAGAAAATAAAAGTTTTTCAACTAGATAATGCTTAATTGTTAATATATTATAGGGGTCTAGAACTTAATTTCTAAATGCTATCTGAAATCCTAAGGTGAAAAAACACTATAGGTCAACTGGTGATCAGCTATTCTGGGAGGATTGTTAAGCACTTAAGAATATATGTTAATTATTTGAAAAATTTAGTAAACAAGACTCAAAAGGTACAAGATTATTCTGAAGGAATGTTCTCTGAGCTTACGGTACCACTTTTCCTTTTCTTTCAAGTACATTTTGTTTTTGGTTCTTTCATTCTTTCCATTTATTTCCATCATTTAGAAAAATAGACTTGGGAATACTAAAGCACTAAACCTGTGTTTTTCTAATATAAATGAGTTTGAGTCTCTTGGATTACAAAATGTGGGCTTTAAAAGTTGTCCAATATAAATATGCCCTGATACGTTGGAAAAATCTATCCACATTCACTAAATTAATATTAAGAACAATGTTAGTTTTAGCACCCTTCCTCATTTTTCTCTTACCCAATGTAACAGTATTTTTTAAAGCACAGTTACATCACTGAAATAAATTACACTGAATCTGCCACATTATTGGTATAAGTATTATTTCTAAGCCTGCAAGTTGAAAGAATTATTTTGAAATTTTGAACTTTTAGAATTCATTAAGAAGGGCACTGATTTATTTAATATAGATCTCAAAGTTTGAATATACTTTGGTCAAAAATTTTTATTACAACCTAGCTTCATTGAGCTTTGTAAGTGCGGTATTATATAACATGCTTGCCACTTAGTAGATGCCCACTGAGTACTAATTTCTTTTCTATTCACATTGGTGGAAAAAAATATTCCAGAGTTATGAAAATGGAGAGTATCCACAAGTTTGATTAAAAGGTTTTATTATGGGGTCCGGAAAGTATTGCAGAATTTTACCAACACTTTGAATAGGCATGGCAGTGGTGCCAAATGCCTGATGCCTAGTCTCTAATTTAAGTTCTCCTCATCTGAAGTTTCCAACTTAGGGGATATGGGATAGAGAAAACTCAGTCAGGAGTGGAATGATATTAATGTGCTTATTCCAGGAAATAAGAAATGGCTTGGTTGGCTATTCAAGGAAGGCTGCCTCACAAGTTATGTGTGTGTGTGTTTTTAAAACCAAATTCTGGAATTCTTAACTTTGGCACGTATGGTACCACTTAACCAGTTAAACACCTGTCTAAACTTGTTAATTTCAATCATGTATTTTCTAATTACCTAGCCTTAAATTCATCTTATTAAAATCTGAAAAAAATACAATGGTTGCCTTGATTTGTCTTTACTAGATTGATGTTCCAGAAGGAGGAAATGGGAAAAGAGAATCAGTTTCATCTCATTGTGTTAATAAGTAAGTTTTATTTGTGTTCTTTTGCACAAAATGCAAAGGAGGTGACCAATCCTATATAATAAAAGCCTAATATGCAAATCAACTGAATGCTGGAACAACTGGTTGCTATGACGCGCATTGATCACCAGCGGGCAGACGATCAACACAGGAGCTGCCCCCTGGTGGTCAGTGCGCTCCCACAGTGGGAGCACCACTCGGCTGACTGGGCTGAGTCGCTCATAGGGCAGGTCCACAGCTGCTCAGCTGACCAGGATGAGCAGCGCTCCCACAGTGAGCCCATCCCCACAGGTTACACCCCCACCAGTGCACGAATCCCATGAACCAGGCCTGTTGTTATATCATAATTACCAAGCTTATACATTTCAGATGTGTGATTATTTATTCCCAGTGTGTCTTTTGATTTATGAGGAAAAGTGTACTTGTTTAAAAGCCATAGTGGATTAAAATGCTAATGAAAATTCAACGTGCTGGTACAAGCTGACCTAAGCAACTCCTCATATCAATACAGGACATGTAGACAGCACAAGGAGTCCACCTTGCTATTTCCCACCGCCTCGCCATGGCTTAAACAGAGACACTTTGTCATCCAGTGTAATGTATTTGGGCCAGCTGGTATTTATTTACTAACACATTTTTAGAAGGTTCAAAATTATTGTCATAGAAAATATTTAACCTTATAGAAATATGAACCCTACAGAAACAGCTAGACATTTTGTATTGTTTTGTTTTTAAGAGGAACTAAAAGAAACTAAAGGAAGAGTTAAGTTGGAGGGGTCTTCCTTTATGTCTGAAGAATTAATGACCTTTCTATGCATCATTGTAACTTTTTTGTATGATTTAAAACACTGCCACAGTACAACTTTATGTTCCAGTTAAATGAGCAAAATAATAGACTTCACTACTTGCTGAAGGACTGTAAACCTGTCTTTGAATAGGTCAGACATATGTAGATGCTCCCTGGGGGCTTTAGAAAATAAATGCAAAGGTTACCACAAATAAGAAAACTGATGCCACAATAGTGGAATTCTATTTCAGGTTCAATTTTTCTTCCTATTTTTAAGCCGTGTTTAATGTGTCAGCAGGTTGGATCTGAAGTGGGCTCTCACAGCCCTCAGTCCATTGACCTGACTTAAATCAGAATCTGATTGGAGACTGTACCAACCCTTTCTTTTCAGGCATTCGCATCTCCTTAGCCTGTTGCTATTGAAACTTCCTTTCTAACACCTTAAATGGAGGGTTTGGTATTATATCATGCCTTCCAGTAATACAGTTTTATCTCTTATTTTCAGTCAGAATTGCCGACCATTTAAGGATTGTTCTAATTATCAGAAATTAAGCCTTTTTTAAAGGAGATACAAAAATCATTTTTAAAACAACAGAGTTAGGTAAAAGATTAAGTATTATAAGATAATATGCCGAGTTTCTGTTTTATTTGAACCTTCTAATTTTGAAGATCATTCGTCTATGTATACAACTCATGATTGAGTCAACATTGATTGTGCATTGAATCTGCCCAGCTGATGCCCGTTGCATTCTGTCATGGAAGTTTGATGTCTTGCCCTGAGATTCTTAGGGTTAGCACTCCTAAACTCAGTGCATTTATAACTGAGAGAGTTCAGACTGAGCCATGGATTACTGTGGTCCAGGAATACAAAGATGTAGAGACTGCTCATGAGACATGGCAGTGCAAACTGACCACCAGCTTAGGGAATTCTGCGTGTCTCTGTGACATTAACTAGCCTTTCTAGGTGAACAGGTTCATGTCGGAAAAAGTTTTTTCATGGAAAAGTTTAAATTATGTCTAGTATACCATGTTCCATAGTAAACACAGAATATTTATTGAAAGACTGAATGAAAGGTTTTAAAGCATTTTGAAAACGTAGTACTCTCTAGTTTAACCCACAAATGTAATCTTTGTTCAGAGGTCCAAGATGTGGCGCTCAGTTTGAATATATTGGAGACCAGAAGGATGTGCTAAGTTTCTTGGAGGGAGAAAGTATTGTTCCTAATGAGTATGTGAATGAAGAATGGGCTGGAGGAGAACCTCGAGGCAGAACTAGGATTTCCTCCCTTAACCTTGTGGAACTCGTTGAGGATCAACCCACCTCTGGTACAAATGTTTTCAGTGAGTATAGAGAGTATCGTTTTTTATCATATTCTGTCTTAATTGAAATAAACTAAATAATAGGATAGTGCTTGAGCTGCATAATAATCCATATTGCCATATTTTTTAAGATAGAAGGAGAAATTATTTTAAAATGGTCATTTGTGTGGGATAGCTCTTATTGAAATTATCTCTCAGAGAGCTGGTGTTGGTATTTTAGGTAAATAGTAATAGCCTCATATCAGAAATGGCATATGGATAATCATAGACCTTTAAACAGAAATGGGATAGAGAGTATAACTAATGGTATCTTCCTTCACTGTACAAAAAAGGGAAAAAGCCCAGAGAGGACAGTGCCTGGTTAGAATTATGAAGAGACTGGTCTGCAACCCCAGACTTTTCACTCTCCCCTAAGGTTTTTCTCCAACACTATATGGTCTTTACATCTGAAGTTTTGACTTTTTTTTTTAACATAGGCACAAAGGTACCACTGAAGACCAAAAAAGAAGATTCTGGAGCAAATTCTCAGGTAGGCTGCTTGGATAGATAACTGTAATGAAAGCCAGGTTTCAACTCCGGGAAGGATATTAAAATTGTAATTATCAGGAGATAATGTTATAAAAGCATTTTTCAATTCATATAGTAAATGTTTGAAATAAATACAGGGATGAGCAAAAGTAGATTTATGTTGTGAGTACACAAAACACAGATTTTATTCTTGTATCATTATGTATTAACTAGAGGCCCGGTGCACGAAATTTGTGCACTGGGGGGGTGGGCAGGGGGAGGAAGTCCCTCAGCCCGGCCTGTGCCCTCTCACAGTCTGGGAGGAGCCCCGTGATCGATCGCCCCAAAGAGGTAGGCCCTGCTCATCCATGCAGGGCTCCTTGATGGATTGCCCCAAAGAGGTAGGCCGGAGCCGCGGGACCTGCCTCTGCACTGCACAGACCCACAGGACCCCCAGGCCTTGCCACACCGAGCCACAGGACCCCCTTCCATACCGCACACACAGCGTCAAGCCCCCGCCCACCCATATGCGCCCAGTATACACTCAGTCTCCTGGTGATCACTCACTACGGCATGAGGGCGTCACAGCGTGAGAGCATGACAACCACATAGGCTTTTACTGATAGGATTATTATATTATTTGTATTACAGCTGTAAACCCACTTTTGCCCACCTCTGTGGGCAAATGGTTAACATCTTTATTGCATATAGAGCTCATACAAATGGATTAGAAAGAAATGTAAACCCTGATAGAAAACGGGGGAAAAGACATGATTGGAGAATAGAAGAGATAAAGAGATAGTATAAGTGGCTGATATTAAAAAATATTTAACCCTACTAATAATCAAAATGCCTTATAAAGCAATGATGAAATACCACTTAACTTATCTAGTTAACAAAGATTCAATACAACTCAACACTAAACAAATAATTATTTGAGTATTAAAAACAAGATAGTACAGCCCAGCTGGTGTGGCTCAGTGGTTGAGCATCGACCTATGAACCAGGAGGTCACCAGTTCAATTCCTAGTCAGGGCACGTGCCCCAGCTTGCAGGCTGTATCCCTAGTGGGGGGCATGCAAGAGTAAGCTGGTCAATGATTCTCATCATTGATGTTTCTATCTCTCTCTCCCTCTCTGAAATCAATAAAAATATATTTTTTAAAAAACAAGAAAGTAAAAATGATTATTTTTATTTTTTTATCCTCCAAATAGGGTAAAAAAGAGAAGGTTTTAGTCACAAAGATAGTCATAGTGATTTTATTATCATAGGGAAAAAAATTGGAACCAACCTAAATATGATCATTAATGGTAGAATGTTCTGAGGCTGTGAAAAACTAGTTTTATAAAATAAATGTAATGGGAAGAAAATGTTATAGGGAATTGAGTATATAGCATACAAAGACTACAAGGAAATATATTTATTAACATTCATATTTCCCTAAGAGGTAAGATTATGGGTGGGTAGGTTTTTTTTCCCTGCTTCATACATTCTGAACTTACCTAATATTTAGGAGCATTTGTATTATTTTTTTAATGGGAGAGAGGAAAAACAAGTAAAATTTTTACATACTAGCCCTGGATGGGTAGGGGTAGCTCAGTCGATTGTTTCTTGAACATAGGGCTCCCATCCTAACTTGGTAGAAATGAAAGCATTCTTGCTGGTACATTCCACCATACTATCCCACCATATTTGGGTGGTTATTCTGCCAGCTTTAGTGCTAACTACGCCTTATAAAATTAATAGTAAATTAATGAAGTCTTGTGCCATGGAATCTGATAGCTTCTGAATCAAGTAAAGACCTAGGAACTAACAGACTGCCCATTATGAGCCTTCATAATTTTTTTTAAAGATTTAATTTTTTAAAATATATTTTTATTGATTTTTTACAGAGAGGAAGGGAGAGGGATAGAGAGTTAGAAACATTGATGAGAGAGAAACAATCAACCAGCTGCCTCCTGCACACCTCCTACTGGAGATGTGCCCGCAACCAAGGTATATGCCCTTGACCGGAATCAAACCTGGGACCTTTCAGTCCGCAGGCCGACACTCTATCCACCGAGCCAAACCGGTTTTGGCATGAGCCTTCATAATTTAAAGAGTTTCACTGGAAATTGTATGTTTTCCAGAATTCTTTCATAGTGTAATAAATACTATATATGAATACTGTATGCTTTTACCTAATTTTTAAGATAGAACTAATATCATAGATCATAATTAGAAAAAAGTTTTCTCTTAACTATTATATATCCTTTAAAAGCAGGAAAGCCACAAATTCTATCACATCTGTCATATAGAATTATATTTCAAAGATAAAATCTTATTGGAAATTTTTATTTCTGAAACTTGATAGCAACATAAAGTGTTGGGTGATTTAAAGAAAGCTTCAGGCTTTGAAATTTTATGACCCCTTAACTTTTTCCCCACCATTTTTTAAGCTCTGCAGAAATAAATCTAGATATATAAACGCCTAAGTGACCATTAAGACCAAATGACTGGAACAACCAGAATGACCAATTGACCAGTCGCTATGATGTGCACTGACCAACAGGGGACAGACGCTCAATGCAGAAGCTGCCCCCTGGTGGTCAGCGCACTCCCACAGGGGGAGCACCACTCAGCCAGAAGCCAGGTTCATGGCTGGCAAGCGCAGCTGTGGTGGTGGGAACCTCTCCTGACTCTGCAGCAGTACTACTGAGCAGCGACAGTAGGCGCAACGGGCCAGGATGAGCGCGAGCTGCACGGCACCGGCTCGGGCTGCTCCCTGGCCGCCTGCCTCTTGACACACTGCTGCATCCCTTGAGGGATCAGGCATAAACTGGCAGTCAGACATCCCCCGAGGGGTCCCAGATTGCGAAAGGACACAGGCCAGGCTGAGGGACGCCCCCTCCCCAATGCATGAATCCATGCACCAGGCCTCTAGTTTCAAATAAAATCTTACATTTCTTATCAAACCTCTGTTTTGTAACAGGGTAACAGTCTTTCTGGAGAATGGTGTGAAGCTCTTCACAGTTTTACAGCAGAGACCAGTGATGACTTACCCTTCAAGAGGGGAGAACGGATCCTGATCCTACAGCAGCTGGACTCTGACTGGTACAAGGGCAGACTGCGAGACAGGGAGGGGATCTTCCCAGCAGTCTTTGTGCGGCCCTGCCCAGGTACAACAACTCCGGGAAGTGGTTCTTCACTCTAAGGGGAGCGCAAGACCTTTAAAGCAATATATATTTCTTTTCCCCTGGCCATGATCAGTTTAAGTTGTTTGCCTTCATTTTAAACAGTTGATTCATAAAGTTTTGTAAGCTCTTCTTCATACTTCATACTTTGTTCGAGTTATAGGGGGAAAAAAGATAAAAATGCCTTTATTTGATAATGGCCAATTTTCTATAGTTTTTTTAGAAACATACAAATATATTTCTATAATATATTTCTACTAGAGGCCTGGCGCACAGAATTTCATGCACAGGTGGCAGGGGAGGGTCCCCTCAGCCCAGCCTGCATCCTCTCCAATCCTGGACTCCTTCGGGATATCCTACTGCTGGTTTAGGCCCTGATCCTGGGGATCGGGCCTTAAAACAGCAGTTGGACATCCCTCTCACAATCCTGGACTGCTGGCTCCTAATGGCAATTGCCCCCCCTGCCTGCTTGGTTGCCCCACGCAGCTTGCTGCTCGGTCATTTGGTCGCCCCTCACTAACCCCCCAGCTGGCCTGGTTGCCCCCACAGCCTGTTCGGTCATCCGTTCGGTTGTAATGGTAGCTTAGGCTTTTATACAGATAGATAATTTTTTTCCTGCTAAGAGAACTTCCTTCATCTTTTTGCAAGTTAAATAAATTCAAAATTATTTTTGAATAAATTGAAAATATTTTGTCCTGGGGATAACAAGGAGGTTTCTTAAAATGTTGGATTTGTGTTTTAGTATGTTCTGTATTTTGGTGTTTCCACAGCTGACATGAAAAGTATGTCTCCTTTAGCACTGAAGGGGAGGAAGGCCAAAGCCTTGTATGATTTCCATGGGGACAATGAAGATGAGCTTTCCTTCAAGGTCAGAATGTACATTTTTAGTTTCTGTATTAAGCAGTTATAAATTTTGAAATATCTTCCATTGAAGGGTGGAACATCTGGGTGGTATATTGACTCTGTGCCAAGTAGGAACATATCTGATGTCCTATATCCAAAGAACAAGATTAGGCAAATGTCAGCAAGGCATTTAGGTACTCAAATAAAACTGAATTGGCTTGATAACCCCACAATCCCCAAACGAATTTCTTATTTGTAGGCCTTGTAACATTCGATGTTAGTAATATTGGAGTTTTCATTGGTAGCCCTAATAAAGGATGATTCTCTACATGGCCATTGTTGCCTGCTATTGTCATGTCTATCAAATCAATGGAGAAGTCAGGTACCTGCTGCAATTGGCCACTGCACCAGGGCCTCATAAGACACTGAGTGAGTCTTGTCCAGAAAGACACTGGCTAGGAAATGATCCCAAAAAGTTAAGCTACTTTTCCAAGGGTTGTTTTCGGGTTTTTTTTAGAAAATTACAATTTAATCTTACTTCATCAAAGAAGTGCCTCTTGATATCAGATCAGTCTCTAGAGATTCTGCCCCCACCCACTTTACTGGGTGTTTGGTGTTTGTATTTGTTTGGTTTATCTATTGGTTCTGTGGTATTATCTCTGTCTCTCTCTACATACATACATATATATATATTTTTTCTCCTTTTTCTTTTCTCTCCTATCTTTTTTTTCTTCTTTTTTTTCTCTCTCTCTTAGATATCATTTGTACTCTCTTTTCTCTCCCCTAATTCTCTTTTCTCAGGTGGTCACTTATATAGGGGCTATCGGTGTTGTGGGTACATTCATGCTTTGTTCCCCTTGAGTCATGTCTTGTTAAGGTGAATTTTATCCTGTCTGGCTAAAGTGCTAGAGAGCAAGCCACATAACCAGACACCTGGAGCGG